ATTTGGAAAGATTCATCTTTGACCTCTTTGTTTGTAGGAATTTCTGTGCAAATCAACGTTGATTGTAAATGAAGAATGAAATATTTTTCAAACTTTTCAATCAATCTTTTGCATTTTAGTTGCATAAAAGTAAAGTTAATCAAAGAAACAAACTGATCGATTCGTTGAAAAACGTTGAAATTGCACATTTTTCCTACTGAATCGGCATAATTTCATTCTTTTCTTTATATTCAATATGTTTATCTGTGCTGTATAATTTGTTTATATATTTTTCGAATTTTAATTTTAGTGAAATGGAAAATATTGTTGTTTTCTTGATGCTTGACAGAAACAATGTTTAAATTTTAAAAATTGAAAAATATTATTGCTTTGTTGATGCCGGCAGCCAATATGCAAATTATCAAAATTTTACATAAGTTTTATCAACATATAAATCAATTAATTCATTTAAATGCAAAATTTTCAGTCGCAAACTAATAATCTTCTTGGCTCGTAATTCGAACTTGATTAAATTTGGCAGCAAACAAATGCCCCTTTGACCTTCTATCATTTCGAGCATAAAATATTTCCATAATTTTAGACTTATCTTTGAAATATTAATCGAAATAAGAAGAAAATTTGAAGGCATTTTGCATCCTAAATAAGTTATAACAACATTCAAAGCGTTATAAAATTTTATATAATTGTTGTTTCGACTTCATCCGAACAGCCAAAGATAAACTGTCACAATGTTTTATTGTATTTTATATTTTACTACTCTTCACAACTTTGCAGTAATGCTTTAAAACATTTTGAATGTTAATAATTTCAAAATAGATATTGTAAATATTCTTCGAATGATTTCATTCTACTCGGGATTGAAGAGATTTGGTGACAATGCTGCCAGTTATAATCACATTTGCATGAAACTATTATTATTCAGTGTGATCAACAAAAAATTATTATGCGAAAAGACTGAGGTTTTGTGATCATATTTGGTTGTAGATCATACGGCTTACCGGAATGCATAAAAATGGTCCTCTCAGTTAATACGACAAATATTACTTCATTACATTGGTTTTCTGCCAGAAATATTTTTCGAAAAGAATTCACTATTTATACATCCCGTCATTTCTCCATCATGCATCTATCATACTATATCATATTACTTGTTTTGCCGTTCCACGTCACGCAAATAACGGTATGTGAATAAGATATTGCCTTTCAGTATAGAAATTAAATATTCACAAAGTCTAAGATAAAAACAGCTGCTTCCTGTGAAAAAAAATAAAACTTTTTATTTCTAATCTATTTCCCTGCGATCATATCGTACAACAAAAATCAGAATCAAAAGCAAAAGTTTACTAATTGAATTACTGAACTTTCAAATCAACTGTCACAATATAGCACAACTGATACTTTTCCAAATTATTGTTACAATTCACTAAGCTATTTTTGAAATATAGAAGTGAATTGCTGCCATTCAAAGATATGTTAGCATACGCAATGATATCTGCACAATGCCTTTATTCAAAATTCGCAGGAAAATAGTAATCAAATATGTTAACATATCATTTTGGGCTATTTCAGGTATCAAATGAAGGCGATGAGGCAATACGAGCACCAACGAGAAATGACACTGAAATAAGGACTTTAGCTAATGACGGGGAAGCAATCGAAAAACGGTACAAATGTGAAGTATGTAGTAAGCAATTCGGAAGATCAGGCACTCTGAAACGTCATAAGGTGATACATACCGATGAAAAAAACTACATGTGTAAGGTATGCAATAAAGCGTTCAGAAGGTCCGACGATCTGAAAAGCCACCAATTGACCCATGTGAACGTACGACCATTCAAATGTCACGTGTACAATAAAACTTTCGAAGAGTCCCGCGTACGTGTGCAATAAAACATTCAAACGGGCCGGCGGACTGAAGATGCACCAAGTGACGCGCGGAAACGAACGGCCATTCAAATGTCATTCAAATGTCACGTGTGCAATAAAACTTTCAAAGAGTCCCGCGTACTGAAGATACACTAAGTGACGCACGGAAACGAACAACCATTCAAATGTGAAGCATGTGGTAGGAATTTCATTCGAAAAGATGATCTGAATAATCACATTAAAAGGCATAAAAGTTGGGATGAAAAGCTATATTCTACAGTAAGCTCCTCACTGATATCGGTAGGAGATATCATTGATACAGAAATATCAATAAGAGATATAATTACATTCGCAGGACTATAAATTATTGTATTGTGTTGGCTTAAATTATATTTGTACTGTTCTTTGGCCATTTGTGCTTTGTCAAATATTTTTTAATTGAATGTCAAATGTGTTTCTTTAATGGACGTAAAACATGAAGAGAACTGGCAATTGCAATAGAAGCTGGTAACAACTTGTAAAACTAATGAGCCCAATTTAATTGAAATTATATCGAGGGTTTTAAAAGTTAATTTCTAGAAAAGCAAAATGGATGCCTTGAAAATCTGTTGGCTTTATACGAATACTCAAGAATTTAAATGGCAATTAGTTCGAATCTTAATAACTTCAAACAATTCTAAACCTCATTTTTTTGATGGAAACCCTTTATCATTTTTTGATGGTGATTACATATTAAATTATTGTGTATTCCCTTCGAATGATTTCATTCTACTCAGAGTTGAAGAGATTTGATGATAATTCTGAGCAATGCTGCCAGTTATAATCACATTTGCATGAAACTATTATTATTCAGTGTAACTAACAAAAAATTATTATACGAAAAGACTGAAGTTTTATGATTATATTTGGTCATAAATCATATAGCTTACAGGAATGCATAAAAACGGTCCTCTCTGTTAATGCAACAAATATCACTTCATTCGATTGGTTGTCTGCTAAAAATAATTTCCAAAAAGAATTCGACTATTTCCACATCCCTTCTCGATTTCTCGATCATGTATCTGTCATACTATTTCGTATTGCTTGTTTTGCCGTTGTACATCGCACAAGTAACGGTATGTGAATGAGATATTCCCTTTCAGTATAGAAATTTAATATTCGCAACTTTTTTTTATCGTAGCCAAGGACTAAAATAGCTGCTTCGTTTGAAGAAAAATTAAATAAAAATTATATTTTTCATATCTATTTCTCTGTTACTTCTAAATACTTGGCGCATTGCTATCGTTTCTTATAGCAAATACCAAAATCGAGACCAAGAACTCCTAATTGAATCACCAAATCGTTTTTATTACATCGATCTGTTAATCCTTCTGTCTCAAATTAATTGTCACAATAAAGCACAGTTGATACTTTTTCCAAATTATTATTACAGTTCACCGAGTTATTTTTAAAACACAGAAGTGAGTTATTGCCATTCAAAGGTTCCACAATGATATCTGCACAATGCCTCTGATTATTGCTGCTCAAAATTCATAGGAAAATAAAAATAAAATATATTAACAAATTATTTTGGGTTATTTCAGGTATCAAATGAAGACGGTGAGGCAATACAAGCAGCAATAAGTAATGATAACGAAATAAGGACTGTGTCTGACGACGAGAAAGCAAACGAAAAACGGTACAAATGTGAAGTATGCGGTAAGCAATTCGGAAGTTCAGGCATTCTGAAACGCCATAAGGTGGTACATAGCGATGAAAAAAATTACATATGTGAGGTATGTAATAAAGCGTTCAAAAGGTCCGACGATCTGAAGAGCCACCAATTAATGCATGGAAACGAACGACCATTTAAATGTAACGTATGCAATAAAACATTCATACGGTCCGGCGGACTGAGGATGCACCAAGTGGCGCACGGAAACGAACGACCATTCAAATGTTACGTGTGCAATAAAATATTCAAACGGTCCGGCGGACTGAAGGTGCACCAAGTGACGCACGGAAACGAACGACAATTCAAATGTTACATGTGCAATAAAACATTCAAACGATCTGGCGAACTGAAGACACATCAAGTGATGCATGGAAACGAACGACAATTCAAATGTTACGTTTGCAATAAAACATTCGAACGGCCCAGTGGACTGAAGATACACCAAGCGATCCATGGAAACGAATTCAAATGTTACCTGTGCAATGAAACATTCAAAAGGTCCGGGAATTTGAAAAAACACAATTTGATGCACGGAAACGAACGGCCATTTAGATGTCACATATGCAGTATAACATTCAAAGAATTCGGGTATCTGAAGAAACACATATTGACGCATGGAAACTTGCGTCCATTCAAATGTGAAGTATGTGGTGGGAAATTCACTCGGAAAGGTAGTTTGAATAGACACATGAAATTGCATAAAAGTTCGGATGAAAAGCTATGTTCTACAGTGAGCTCATTAATGATATCGATAGCAGATGATATCATTGACACAGAAATATCAATAAGGGAAATAATTACATTCGCAGGACTATAAATTACTGTATTGTGTTGGCTTAAGTTATATTTGCGCCAATTTTTTCTATCATTTGTGCTTTGTCCCTTATTTCCTTATTGAATGTCAAAAGTGATTTATAAAATTGTATGTAAAATTTTGAAAATTTGAACATTGGCTGTTAGCATCAACAAAGCAACAATATTTTCCGTTTCACTGAAATTAAAATTCGAAAAATATATAAACAAATTGTATAGCACTGATAAACATATTAAACAAATTTTTCGATATGAGTTCTTATATTATATAAAAACTGGTGATTCGAGCAAAAAATAAGGAAAGAATGAAATTATGCTATTTCAATAGGAAAAATACGCAATTTCAACGTTTTTCAACGGATCAATTATTCCGTTTCTTTAATTAACTTACTTCTGTGCAACTAACATGTGAAAGATATAAACATTAGGCTTCTATTAAATATCATACCTTTATTAATTTATCATTTTTTAACTATCAATACTATAACGTACATAGAATACTGTATTTTTGATGAAATAAGGTTCTTTAAATTTCGGCAATAAAATATTTCAGTATAATCTGTTTCATAACTCAGAAAAAATATATAGAAAGTATAAAATGCAATAATCAAACACCATAAAATCGCACTCCGATACGCCATAAGATGATACAGAAAGAAAATATTACATATGTAGGGTATGCAATAAAGCATTCAAAGATCCGACAATCTGAAAAGCTATCATTTGACTCACGGAAACGTAAGACCATTCAAATGTCACGTGTGCAATGAAACATTCAAAGAGTCCCACGTTCTGAAGAAACAATTTGACGCATCTGAAGCAATTTTTTGTTTTGTTTTTATAAACAATGAATAAGGCATTTTGCTCTCAGGCAACCTTAAGGTAACGTAGTCATCAGTGAAATAGTGGACTTGTTCACATGGCAAGTAATGGATTTTGGCTACTGTAAGTTATTTGATGTTGTTCTTTTCTTTTTATTTTAATCTTTCATTTTTTTCAGAGCCACTTTTGTGATAATGATCTTTCCGAAACACATCACGTAGAGAATGATGATTTAGCTGAAGATGATGATAATATGGAAGCGCAGTACAGTGGAACACTTACGCCAACAACAACTTTACGAAGAGCCATAGAATAAAAATATTTTTACATAAGCAGAATAATATTCAGAATAATAATAAGTGATAATACATAAAAAGACAACCTAATTGTCGGAATTCTTCAAATGTTCATTTTTTAATCAGTTGAATACATTCTTACTCTTTTTGTAATGAACTTTCTTTAAAAGACTTAAATATCTACCTGACTGTGGCATGCAGGTAGCAAGAGCATTGCAAATTAATGGAAATATTCAGCATATTTGAAACATGCGTTTACAATCAGATAATTCTAACGATTATTTCATTTGAATTGATCAAATTCGAAAATCTGCCGCTTAAATTCAAATTTGAACAATTGCTAAAAGAATTTGACAGAACACAATTGTGAAGAAATAGGTGGAAAATGAGGAACAATAAGTGACTTAGAAATAAATAATTATAGAAGATATAGTAATGCATCGGCGGAAAACATTGTATATATATAATATATACATCCATCAATGGATGTTTTAACCAATGGCTAATTGGTTAGGAGTGGTCGCATTGTTGTATGGGATGGTAATTCAATACCCGTTAGAAGAAGCTAAAGCTTATGACAAGAGCTCACGCACCACTCATAGCAGCTGTGCTGAAAAGATAAACCTCTCAATTAAATATTAAATAATCATTTCCGAGGCAAATAACGGGAAGCGTTTCCTTTTGTTTCATGTCTTCCGTACTAGGAGAAGTCAAAATCAATTGCGGTTTTGTGCCATCCCAAAAATTAGCCTACTAGCACGTATTGGCAAACGGGATTTTTTGGATCAGCTAGCTTACTCAGTTCTTCAAAAACTAACAGAAATTATTCGATACGGAATTTTTCCGGATGTTCTTCTTTCGAAACTAAAAATGAAGTAATTCGAATACAATCAATCCTCTGTATAACATTTGAATTGAAAATTAATTTATTCGGAGAGAGGAGTTTATAGATACAGCTTATCACAGTGAATGGAATAGAAATTAAATAACTAACAAAAGCGAATGTTTTCAAATGCAAAGCAGATATGGAAGTCAATATTCTATGAACAAATTTTCCATGATATCAGGAAAACTATGCTCAATTACTCATTCAATGAAAACTACCGTATTTGATTTCAATTTTCACAAAAAGGTAAGAATAATAATCCCATTTTCAAATAATCATAATTTTCTCACCGCGCTACTAACCTAATTTAATTGATACTTAATTACTTAATGAGTACTTAATTGATAATATAAAATTGTGATGAAAAAGCGACAGATTAAGATTAAAAAAGGAACTTTTTAAGCTATCAAAACCCCTGATTGTCATATGAAGAGATAAAAACTCCAATGTTGTCATCACAGTTCAATATGTGTTCTTTACAACTCGTCTTCAATCACTTTTACGGATGCTGTGGATGATCTTCAAAAAGTGAATCTCTAAAGAAAATGAATTTTAATTGAAATAGGGAAGATAATTGAAAGCTTTTTTACATCTTAAATAAGTTTTAATAATATTCAAAGAATTATATTTCTAAAAATAAAATAATACATAATCCTTATTTCCATTTCATCCTAATAACAATCAAAGCATAAACTACTTCTCGGTATCTTTTATTATATCACTCTTCACAATTATGCATTCAATATTGATTATTGTATTTTATGCTTTATATAGTTTTAATTCCTACAAACAAAGAGGTCAAAGATGAACCTTTCCAAATATGATTGTAATAATGCATATAATAGTAGCTCTTATCAAATAAATTTCATATTTGATCAAATTTATAGAATTTTCGTCGGAAAATTCTATGCAAAAGTATTTTCGGCAATTTCTCAACACAACAAATATGTATGACAATATTTAAATTTTGGATTTCAGCATATTTCTAAAAAATAATAAAATCACAGAACGGAAGAAGTGAATCATTTGAAGGCGTAAAATATATAAAACGGATTATACTGAAATAATTTTCTGCTGAAATTTAAATAGTCTAATTTCATCGAAAAGCAGTATTTTTTGCACATTACACTCATAGTTTAAAAAAGATGATTAAATAATAAAAGCAAAATATTTAAAACAATCTTTTCCAATAGAAGCTTTTAGGTTTTGCTTCGGTCGTACAAAATTCAATGATAATAAAAATCTTTTGATCGCTAACGTTTAAAGCAATGGGTTATTGAATGCTTTGAAAATCTGTTTGCTGATGCTGAAGATCTGTTCAAAATCTTACCTGAAATTACCTGAAATTTTTAGTGACAATTAATTTAACCCTGAAAATCTTGATGATAATTAATTTATATCTGAAATTCTTAATGACAACTAATTTAAATCTCAATAATTTTAAATAATTCCATATTCCAAATTTTTTCAACAAAAATGCTTCATCCATTCTTGGTGATGATTACATATTAATTTATTGTGTATTCTCTACGGATGATTTCATTCTATTCCGAGTTGAAAGCATTTGGTGACAACTCTGAAGAATGCTGCCAGTTATAATCATATTTGCATGAAACCATTATTGTTCAGTGTAACTAACAATGAAATTTAGAGTGAAGTGAAAACTATTGTGCAAAAAGACTGGAGCTTTATGGTCATATTTGGTCATAGATCACACGGCTTACCGGAATGCATAAAAACGGTCCTCTCAGTTAATACGACAAATATCACTTCATTAGATTGGTTGTCTGCAAAAAATATTTTTCGGGAAGAATTCGACTATTTCCACATTCAATCACTTGTCGATCATGTATTTGTCATACTATTTCGTATTGCTTGTTTTACCGTTGCACGTCGCCCAAATAACGGTATGTGAATAAGATATTGCTTTCATTATAGAAATTAAATATTCACAAAGTTTTTGATCTTAGATAAGGGCAAAAACAGCTGCTTCTGTGAATTTTTCATTTCTTATCCATTTCTGTGTTACTTGTAAATAGTCGGTGTTTTGAGAGCATTGAATCACCGAATCATTTTTGTTATATCGATTTCTTAATCCTTCTGCCTTAAATAAACAACACAACTAACACTTCTTTCAAATTATTATTACAATTCACCGAACTGTTTTTAAATTATAGAAGTGAATTGTTACCATTCAAAGATTCTACAATGATATCTGCACAGTGCCTTTGATTATTGCTGCTCAAAATTCGCAGGAAAATAATAATCAAATATATTGACATATCATTTTGGGTCATTTTAGGTGTCAAATGAAGGCGATGAGGCAATACAAGCAGCAGTGAGAAATGACGACGAAATAAGGACTGTGGCTGATGACGGGAAAGCAAATGAAAAACTGAACAAATGCGAAGTATGTGATAAGCAATTCGGATGTTCACGCACTCTGAAACGCCATAAGATGATACATACCGGTGAAAAAAATTACATATGTAAGGTATGTAATAAAGCGTTCCAAAGGTCGGACAATCTAAAGAGTCACCGATTGATGCATGGAAACGAACGACCATTCAAATGTTATGAGTGCAGTAAAACATTCAAACGGTCCCGCGAACTGAAAATGCACCAAGTGACGCACGGAAACGAACGACCATTCGAATGCTACGTGTGCAATAAAACATTCAAACGGTCCGGCGAACTGAAGATGCACCAAGTGAGGCATGGAAACGAACGACCATTCATATGTCACATTTGCAATGAAACATACAAACGATCTGGCGATTTGAAGAAACATCAAGTGATGCACGCGAACAAACGACCATTCAAATGTTGCGTGTGCAATGAAACATTCAAGCGGTCCAGTGGGTTGAAGACACACCAAGTGGTCCACGGAAGCGAACGACTATTCAAATGTTATGCGTGCAGCAAAACATTCAAAGTATTCTGGAATCTGAAGAAGCACATATTGACGCATGGAAACGTGCGGCCATTCAAATGTGAAGTATGTGATAGGAAATTCACTCAGAAATATAATTTGAATAGACATATGAAAGTGCATAAAAGTTCGGATGAAAAGCTATATTCTACTGTAAGCTCGTTGATGATATCGATAGCAGATCATTGACACAGAAAATAGGGAAATAATTAGAGCATTGGCTTATGTTATATTTGTACTGTTTTTTGCCATTTGTTCTTTGCTTGCTATTCCTCGATTGAATGTAAAATATGATTGATGAAATTGTACATAAAATTTTGAGGTAAAATTTTGAAAATTTGAACATTAGCTGTTAGCATCAATAAAGCAACAATATTTTTCCATTTCACTAAAATTAAAATTCGAAAGATATGTAAGCAAATTGTATAGCACTGATAAACATATTAAACAACATATTAGATTGAGATCGGAAGTGAACGAAATCTTTGATTGTTTGATATTTTTTGTTATTAATTCTTACATTATTTAAAAACTTCTGGTTCGAACAAAAAATAAGGAAAGAATGAAATTATGCCATTTCAATAGGAAAAATACGCAATTTCAACGTTTTTCAACGAATCAATCACTCCTTTCTTTTGATTAACTTACTTCTATGCAACTGAAATGTAAAAGATTTAAATATTATGCCTTTATTAATTTATCATTTTTTTTTAATTATAAATACTATAATGTACATAGAATACTATTTTTCGATTAAAGAAGATCTTTTAAATTTCTGCAATGAAATATTTGATTACAGTCTGTTTCATATTTTTGCGCCTTCAAATGATTCACTTCTTTTGCTCTATGATTTCATTATTTTTCACACTTCTAGGGTTAAACGGAAGAAAAAAATGGGAGCATCTATGATTCCAAAACGTATCACCGCTCTAATCCAATTCAGAAACTCTATTCCTCTCTGCATTTTTTATATTTAGAACTTATTCAGTATTTTGAATTTTTCTTGAAAATATTGAATAACCACAATTATTGTCTATAATTCACTTATCGATGATGAAATGGCATAGTTTCGCTCTTTTCTTTATTTCTTTGTTCGAATCAGAAGTTTTTATATAATATAGAACTAATCCAGTGAAGTGGAAAAATATTGTCGCTTTCTTGATGCTGGCAGCCAATGTTCAAATTTACAAAATTTTACATCAAAATTTTATGTACAATTTCATCGATCACTTTTTACATTCAATCAGGAAATAGCAGGGAAGAACAAATGGCAAAAAAACAGTACAAATATAACTTAAGCCAATACAATACAATAATTTATAGTCCTGCGAATGTAATTATTCCTCTTATAATTATTTCTGTGTCAATGTAATCTGATATCGATATCTTTAACGAGTTTGCTGTATTCGAAATTTTATGCGTGGTAATGTGTTCTTCCAATTTATCCTTTCGAGTAAAAGTCTTACCACATACTTCACACTTGATTGATCGTACGTTTCGGTGCGTCAGTTGATGTCTTTTCAGATTGTTGGACTTTTTGAATGTTTTATTGCACACGTGACATTTGAATAGTCTTTCATTTACGTGTGTCACTTGATGCATCTTCAGATTGCCGGACCTTTTGAATATTTTATTGCATATCTTACATATGTAATTCTTTTCACCGGTATGCATCATTCTATGTTCTTTGTTATTCCCTATTGCTGCTTGTATCGCCCCATCACCTTCAATTGATACCTGAAATGACCCAAAATGGTTTGTTTATTAAAGGTTATTGTTTCCCTGTGATTTTTGAGCACCAAAATCGGAGGCATTGTGCAGATATCATTGTAGAATCCTTGCATGGCACAATTTACCCACATATTATAAAAATAGCTATGAATTGTAACTATAATTTGAAAAAAAGTGTCAGCCTTGTTGTCTATTTGAGACATAAGAATTAACAGACCGATATAACAAAAATGATTCGGTGATTCAATGCACAAATATTTTGTGTTTCACTTTTGGTATTGGCTATAGGAAATGATCGCAAAACACCGATTATTTATAAGTAACAGAGAAATGGATAAGAAATGAAAATTTTGATTTTCCTTCACAGGAAGCAGCTGTTTTTATCGCTAGCTGAGATTAGAAACTTCGCGAATATTTAATTTCTACACTGAAAGCAGTATCTTATTCACATACTGTTACTTGCGCGACTCACAATGACAAAATAAGCGCTACCAAACCATATACTTTACATTCGAATGGCCGCACGTTTCCATGCATCAATAAGTGTTTCTTCAAGTCGTCGAAACGTTTGAATGTTTTATTGCGCACGTGACATTTGAATGGTCGTTCGTTTCCGTGCGTCACTTGGTGCATCTTCAGTTCGCCGGCCCGTTTGAATTAAGTGATAAAAATTTAACAAAGAAGTGGAGAATAAACTTTTATCAGAAATTATGGACAAACCGATTTTCTATGAATATTTAATTGACTAAAATCAAAATTCTTGCTCTCAAATCTCTCAAGTCAAGCTATAAAAATGAAATGAGTGGTAAATCTTTAAGTGAGGATTACCATTTCAACATTCTATTAGAGAAAATAAGCTAATGAAATTCGATATTAAAATGTTGATATACTTTTTTGTGTGAAGAAAATTTGCCGAAAGTACTTTTGCATAGAATATATCGTTGGAAATTCGATAAATTTAATCAAATATGAAATTTTGAAATTGCACATTTTTCCAGTTGAAATGGCATAATTTCATTTTTTACTTTATGTTCAATATATTTATCCGTGCTATACAATTTGTTTATATATTTTTCGAATTTTAATTTTATTGAAATGGAAAAATATTGTTGCTTTGTTGATGCTAACAGCCAATGTTCAAATTTCCAAAATTTTACATACAATTTTACAATTCACTTTTGACATTCAATCAGGAAATAATGGACAAAGCATAAATGGTAGAAAAAATTGGCGCAAATATAACTTAAGCCAACACAATAAAGTAATTTATAGCCCTGCGAATGTAATTATTTCCCTTATTAATATTTCTGTGTCAATGATATCTCCTATCGATACTGAGGAGCTCACTGTAGAATATTGCTTTTCATCCGAACTTTTATGCAATTTCATGTGTCTATTCAAACCAACTTTCCGAGTGAATTCCCCACCACATATTTCACATTTGAATGGCTGCACGTTTCCATGCGTCAATATGTGTTTCTTCAGATACCCGAATTCTTTGAATGTTTTACTGCATATGTGACATTTAAATGGCCGTTCGTTTCCGTGCATCAAATTGTGTTTCTTCAAATTCCCCGACCTTTTGAATGTTTCATTGCACACGTAACATTTGAATGGTTGTTCGTTTCCATGGACCACTTGGTGTCTCTTCAGTCCGCTGGGCCATTTGAATGTTTGATTGCACTTGTAACATATGAATGATCGCTCGTTCCCATGCATCACTTGGTGCATC